ATATACAGTCAGTGATCATCTTTATATACAGTCAGTGATCATCTTTATATACAGTCAGTGCCTCTGGTCTGAACAGAGTTGATCCGGTCAGGTTATATAAGTCAGGTAAAACATATATATCGGGTTATATATGGTCCAGTAGCGGCTCTGGACTGAACCAGTAGCCGCCTTGGTGAGTCTCTGCTCGGTCTCGATCAGCTGACTACCTGCCCTCAGTGACACACACACTGACCCACCTGGTACAAACAGCGGGGACACGGAGCTTCTCTCCCGGGGGAAGCGTCGCTCTCACCCGGACACTGAGCTCCAGTCGCCGCCGCCTCCAAAGTTTCCGTTAATTTACACAACGACTGTTTCCTCGAGCTGTGGCCATCTTCATCACAGGAAGTGACGTCGGAGGAAGGAGGCGTCAGCGCGGGAAATAAAGTTATATTTAAGTTTCGTTGAGACACACAGACACACACTCTCTCTCTCTCTCACACACACACACACACACACACACTCTCACACACACTCTCTCTCTCTCTCTCTTTCTCACACACACACTCTCTCTCTCTCACACACGCTCTCTCTCTCTCTCTCACACACACACACACACTCTCTCTCTCTCTCTCACACACACACAAACACTTTTCTTATAGTTTGAGATTTTGAGAGCTTTATTCCTCTTTCATCTTGGCCACACTCATCTGTCCATCAAGGAACAGCCTTTCTCTCCTTTCATCCTTTATTCCTAGAAACCTTTACAGCATCTACTGTTAAACGTTTTATTTATTATTATTTAAATCAAAGGAGAGAAGCTAAGAGCAGCAGAAACAAACACCTCTCTCCTTTGATCTCGCCTGAGTTAGTGTGTCACTCTTCTTGCATTTAGCCTTTGATGGAACGTTCCTGAAAGAACATCATATTGTTTCTCAGACACAAAAGAGATCAAAGACCAAGTAAACAACTGCATCTTAAGGAAACAACATTGAATTTCCTGAAGCAACTGAACAGTGAAACGACGACTCTCACAAGCATGACACACGCTTATTCAGACAGAACTGACCGGTCACGCAGACTTTACGTGTCAGAGATTGAAGAAACATTTGAACCGCAGGAGTCCACGCGAACAGTTCATGAGCGGAACAGCTGCTGTGAATGTGAGGATGAAGTGGCTCAACTTGAAAATATAAGAAACAGAAGAGAGATTCAAAGACTTAAGGAAGAGTTAAGCGAACTTAAGATCCGATTGAAGGATGCAACTGGGAAAATACGTGAGATGACTCTTCTGTTGGACAAAGTAAAGGCAGAGTTTAGAAAAGTGGCCAATGATCAAGAGAAACAAGCCAAAGAGAATCAAGGCCTGATGATAGCAGTGCGAGATCTGAGCTCACCAAGAGTCGAGGTTCCTCTGCAGGAGGCTGTTGAGGTTCCTCTGGAGGAGGCTGTTGAGGTTCCTCTGGAGGAGTCTCTGGCTCGTAGGTGTTGCAAATGGCTACTCATGGTATTTCTGTGTCTTTGCTTTGTCGCTGTGTGTTTCTCTCTTCTTCCATGTCTGGAGTCGAGCAGCCTGGCTTCACACTTGGACATGACCTATGAGCTCACATGGCTCCTCAACCCCCAGCAACCAGTTCTCTTCTGAACAGGCGCAGCCAGAGTCGGTGTGGAGTCACACAGCTGTTCCTGGCCTCTCTCTGTCGCTCTCTCTCTCAAGCTGTTTTCAGACCTCTGGGTAAAATCCAGAGTTCCTGTCCCACGTGAAAAACGCAGCAGGAGATATTTCTTTTCTTTTTGTTTCTTCATGTTTGTGTCACACATGTTAGAAGTTCATCACCCCCCCACTCACTCACAGTGAATCAGTGGAGGATCCTCTGCTGTGTCCACTCTTCTCCTGTAACTAGACTTTAGAGACTTTATACAGGAGCTCCGTTTTATTGTGTTTGTGTCTCTTCTCCTTCGGTCGTCTCTGACTCATCTCTCTCAGTGAGTGCGGTGCACCAACCACAAAATGTAACAGTGTTACATTAACACAATTCATTAAAGTGTAACTGGAGTTCTTACACATTAACTCCAGTTTGTACCCACTGTGTTACAACTGATCTTTTTGCACTTTGAATCTACCTCTCAAGAAAAAATTATGAAATGCGAAAAGAGTAAAAACCAGGGATTAAAACTAAAGTGTTAAAGGGGAAGAATATATAAATTAAATTAAATATCTGTGAAACTGTTGAAGGTCTAAAGAAGAATAAATGAAATAAATACAATTAAACTAAGTGAAAAACCAGACACACACATCAAGAGTCAAACCGTCACACACACACACACACACACACACACACACACACACACACACACACACACACACA